TGGACCTACAGCTAAAACATCTTACCTTTTTCTCTTCACAGCATGGATGTCATGTGTTCCTTCCATTTCCGTGCTGTCTGCTTGCAACGCGGCAAAATTCTCACGTTCGTTGACCAGATCTTCGATTGTCAGCGAAGTGTAATCCGCTTGTGAGTCCCGGTGAATCATTCTAAGGCGAACTTCCAGTAATGTGGGATTCTGAAGACCCGCTACAAATTGTAACGTCTTCATCGCTGTATAGTCAAGCTCCCTCATCCATTCGCTTGTTTATGTCGGCGTACTCCCGAAACGGCATGTACGTTGGTGTCATTGGCGGGCAATTGGCCCTAAGACACTCATACCTCTCCTTAAATGTCTTCTTAGAGGCGGAACAGCTTCTGGAGATTCGCGACCGTTGTGAGGCAGGACCTCATATGCAGCTTTCGACGTATGCGTGCTCATCCGACTTATTGAGAATCAGATCGCTTATTGTTGTCTGGCAATAAAGCGTAGCGTATGTGATCCGTACCTATTAAACTAGTAATTGAATGTGTTACGTGTCTTTTTGTCTGAGACAAACTTTTGCATGTCCCTGCTCAGCTGATCATATAGACTTACTCTTTACTGGCATCCTGGACGGCAGCGCCTTGACTGCGGCTAAGAGTGGGGAACATTGACTTCATTCCGTCGTGCTGCATCTTCATTTCTTCACGTTGGAGACGCATCTGCTCGACCATGATAGTTAGGATCGCCTCCAGTTGATTATGACCACACCGTTCCAGCTTGATGCATTGCCGACATCTCTGAACTCGTGACGAGCTTCTTCCTTTTTTCTTGCAGGTTTCTTCGTTGTCCTTGATCAGTGGGGAAATCTTCGTCCTAGCTTTTTTTCGTCCTTGATCGGTGGAAGCTTCTTCTAATCCTGCTCCTGATCGCCAGTTGTTGTGGAACGCGTTGATGGTAAACTGTTTACATGCAAAAGACTGAGCCTTCTATACAATTGCCACATACACCACTGGTTCACTTAATGAAACCTATGGAATAATATTGGATGAACAGCATAAGACGTGGCGTGTATCC